AAATTTAAAATTTAAATATTCAAATAAAAAATAAAAAATAAACATTGAAAATTTTCCTATTTAAAATTTATGATTTAAAAGTAAAATTTGAGTTTAAAGTTTTAATTTTTGGTTTTTTAATTCATATTTTTGATTTTTTAAAATTTAAAATTTTATTTTTTATTTTCTTAATTTAATTGTTAAATATTAATTTTTTATTTTATAGTTTAAATTTTAATTATTTAGTTTTAAATTTTAATTTTAAATTTTAATTTTAGATTTTAAATTTTACTCCGTAAATGTTTAACATCCCGCTAACACAATTATGGTTTGAATGAGGTTTGAAAAGAGCTAGGATTTTGTTTTGAATTACTCTAGTGCAAGAAATCTCAAAATACAATTTCATATCAATTCTATTTACAATTTACAGTTTTGTGTTATCAAACAAAGGATTTGGAATGACAATACAATTCTATATCAATTCCATAATTATATCAAGCAAAGGAATTTGAATTAAACTAGAATTCAATTCTATCCAATTCAATTTCATATATTTTCAATTCTAATTCAATTCTAATTTTGTATACCAAGAAAACCATAAATCTTATTTGGAGTATGGAGTAAGATTTATGCTCCCACCGTGTAGGAGATGTTAAAATTTGTGAAGGATGTGATACTAAAAGTTTGGCCGACGCATAAGTTACACTTTAGAGCTTCATATTGAAACTCTCATCATGACTTGCCCATCTTCGAGAGCTCTTCAGATTCGATCAGACGGTTATTGAGAAAATGTAAATTGAATTTTAATGATAGATTAATGACAAAGAGTGAAGCTTGCATTATGTCCACCGACCTCATCACGACTTTCATAGTTGCATTGGTGCTGCAGTCTCGGGTACCCTTTCGCGACCATACCGGCTGGAATGATAATGCGTGCGGGTCTTCTTTTTAAAAAATATTTTTTATGTTTTGAGGAGATTGTATTCCCCCGTTCCAAAAAAACTCTTGGTTTGATTCTGTACAAAATTTAAGGAAAATGAAAATATGTGGTTGAAGAGATGCAGACTAGAGAAAAATATTACTTGGTCCGTCCCTGAATGTTTGTCCACTTTTGACTTTTGGAATTGTTCATCTAAGCACTTTGACTCATTAAATTCTCTCAATGTGTAAGCCTAAAAATAGTCATGTGTGATCTTGTTTGATTCGTCTTAACATATAGATTATTAATATATAATTTTTATAATTTTTTAATATACAAATTACAAGATAAAATGGATTAAAGAAGTGTATTGGATGATGTGCAAAAATGAAAGTGGACAAACACTCAGGGACGGAAGGAGTATGAACCACTCAAAGTTTTCCAAAAAATAAAAAGGAGACGATTTTTCTGCAACATCTCAAATAGGAAATAAAGAATTTTTTTTAAGACGAACAGAGTTTCATTTTCAAAGTTTTTTTAAAGAGTTTGGAAGGTCAAAAAAATCTCAATGTATACTCCCTCCGTCCACAAATAAACTTCTCGTTCACTATTCACAGGGTCAAATATTATTTACTCTGTTGGCCTATTTTCATCACCCAATAAAATAATATAGTCATGTCATCTCTAGTCTTGTAGATCTTTTGATATAGTTTTTTAATATGTAATTTTTATTTTTAAATTGTATACCATTTTTCATATAAAATGATTTGAAAATAATTTTAGTCAAAAATCGTAACGCGCAACGGGAAATTTATTTGTGGACGGAGGAAGTATATAACACCCAATCGAAGCGCTAAGTCGCTAACCCGAGCAAGTAGTGAGACGTGAATCACAGTATAAGTTATCTTAGGGTCCGTTTGGTATATGGAATTGATGGAATTGGAATTGAAATTCCATGAGATTCAATTCCATAGAATTGAATTCACCAATTCCAATTCATTTTTTGCACTATCAATTCCAAATTCACATAATTTTTTGTTCAATCAAACATCAGAATTGAAATTAAACTCCTCAATTCCAATTCCATAGTTTGAATTCCATGTACCAAATGGGGCTTTAGTCTAGTCTATCGATAGGGGTCATGTGCTTGGTACAAATAAGAAACTACTCCGTATCACATTTGATAAAACTCTTACACTATCATTATCAAGAATGGAGTATTAGATTACTCCGTAGATAATTATCGACATCTATGTTGCAGATATATTTCGTGTGTATCCTGATTAAATATCAATTAGCATATATGCTACAGAGATCGGCAAGTACCCGCATTAAAAAAACAATCCCTGTTTTTTTTTTTTTTTGAAATTTGAACTTCTGTTGAATTGAAGAATTAATTGGAGAGATTAATAGAAACAGCAATTTAATTACCTGAATAAATGAAAATAATCCTCCACTCGATGATGATGATGATGAAGCTAAGAGAGAAGTTTAATCTGCATATTGTACAACTGGGAAAGATTTATTTTTGAAAAACAGTTCGTACTTAAATGCACACGGAGTAGCAGGGAAGGCAAGTGGTGAATGGGTCCACGACACTATACGAGTTCCAATAATTTATTAAAAATATAATCTAAGTCAAATTTAGAAAACAAAACAATAATGAGATGAAGGAGTAGTATAAAATTCTTAACTAATATTTCTGGATAGGAGGAAAAAAGTATGAAAATATCAAAATAAGAGTCTTAAATCTTTTATGAACAAAATAGAAATATAATGACAGTTTGGTGTTAGAGTACGCATTGGCAGTGCAATGAAAAATTGATGACAGTGCAATATGTCAGTGTAATCAGTCAATCGTCGGTGATTTGCGGTGGCTCTCTGGTGGCCGGCGACGATGAATGGTAGTGTGGCGATGATAGTGTAGTTGTTGTAATGTGATATTGTGGTGAGTGTGGTAGTGTAGCAATGATGGTGTGAACTCATGTTCTATTCTTAAAACTCTTATGATCGTATTTTGGTATTTTCACAATTTTTTACTCCTGTCTAGGATGTTCTCCCAAAATTCTTTGTTTACTTTTAATTCATGATATTTAAATTACTCAACTACTCCCTCTGTCCGGAAATATATTGCTCAGATATTATTGTTGTGCTTCGAATTTTGTTCACTTTGTTTATTTCATTATCGTCATTTCATAAATCAGAATACTCTATCCCAAAAAAATCTTGATTTAATCTAGAGCAAAGTTTAAATAAAATGAAAATGTATTTTAAAAAGTGATGCAGTGGAGAGAAATGTTTTTTGAAAGAGAGAGAGTATAAGTGTTCATGTCACATCTTGTTTTGAAAAATCTTTTATATAATTTTTAAATATATAATTTTATTTTAAATTGAATTGAAAATGAACTCAGTCAAGCCTCGTAAATCGAATAGAACAAATTCAATTTCAGATAGTAGGGCTGGGTTGGAAAAACCAAAAGCCGCAAACCGAACCGAAATCGATCAAAACGAGCTAGAAAAAAACCGAACCAAAAAACCGAACCGAACCGCTAGTGTTTGGTTCTGTTTTGGTTTTCACTTTGAAAAATTGAACCGAACCAAATAAACCGAACTTTCTTAGATACTTCACTTTATTTATATGAATATATTTGATATGTAGAAAAATCATAGAAATATAAATGCAAATAAATTACTAGTCGATTAAAATTATTTTCTTATCTATTAATTAAACATTCTAGCCATATTATTATAAACTTTAAAAAAACTTAAGAATATATATGAACACCAATAGCTAATCCTAATATAGAATTATATTAAGATTAAAAATTGATACGCGTAATTTACATAAAAATACTTTGATGTTTTAATGAAGATGAAAGTATTATACAAAAAATATAAATTCTTCGTAATTGATTTTACATACGATGTCTTTGGAAGTATTTGAAATCTTCTAAATGTTTGTTGGGCACTCAACACATATTTTTTTTATGTAAAATTGAACTAAAAGGAACAATAATAACCTTTCGTTTGGTTTTTTTTGTGTAAAAATCAAATAAAAAAACCAAAGCTAACACTACATATTGTTATTGTTTCATCGAGTTAGTGTTTTTATAATTTTTTAATGCTTATAAATTTCTACTTTTATAAACCGAAAAAACCGAAATAAAAACCGTATAAAACCGAACCGAATAATCAACGGTTTACATATTTTTTATGCAAAACCGAACCGAACCAAACCGCCAATTTACCTTCCGTTTTATCTTTGGTTATGGGTGAAAATCGAACCGCCAAAACTGAACCCACCCCTATCAGATAGAGGGAGCATAATATTTAATAAAAATATATAATTTAATCTAATAAATAGTAAGTAAAATTTGCACTAAATAAGACTAAAACATAATGACTTTCCCAATGTAGAACTTAAACTTTTTTATTCCCTAAATAAGACTTAATAATGACCTAATGGGAAGAATAATGTCCAGTAATGATGGACATTAATTGAATAATGACTACTTGTTAATGACCAAAAGTCCTATATTGGGAAATAAAAACATATGGTCCTATATTGAGAAAGTCATTATGTTTTAGTCCTATTTAGGTAAATTTCTCAAATAGTAAACCGTATATGAGATAAAAATAGCAAGATATATTTTTTTGGTACGGTACAAAATAATGAGATGAATTAAATAAATGCTGAGTTAGATGAACTAACTAAAAGGTGAGATGAATTAAAAAAAATTCGTACAAACTAGGGCTTCAAATCTTATCTCTCCCACAGCAGCTTTAATCTCACAGTTTTACTGAAAATGGGTTTAATTTCAAGCCCTGGGGCTTCAAACATGAGTTTCAAACTTTTAATTTTTAAATTTTTAAATACATATTTTGTAAAAGTAAATTAATAAGAATTCATTAAATAATTAAATTTAAACAAAAATAATTCATTAAATAAAAAAATTACATTGATAAAAAAGATTTTAATAATAACAACATAAATAAAAAATTAAAAATTACATTACATTACAAAGAACTTACTTATTATTTGAGCGACCAAAAATTTGTTCAATAAAATCTGCCGTCAGTGTATTGTGAATCTTTCGGCTTCGAATTTCTTGGCAGTTTCTTTGCTTATTTTCTTCGTTGATTTCTTCGTACGTAGGCACCTTCTCGGCTTCTCGTCCGGGTTGTAATAACAAATTGCAAACTTGTTGCTCTCTATAATCATATTATGAAGAATAATATATGCGTACATGATACTCTTTGTTTTTGTTTGAGAATAACACTTGAACGGACGATATATAATGTGCCACTTACCCATCAACACCCTGAAGGCTCATTCGATATCCTTTTCTCACCACCTCATGAGCATTTGTAGGTCTCGCGTTTAAGACTCATTAGTTCCGAGATGGATTTGAAAATTCTGAAATAATCTGGATATATTCCATCGGCAAGCTAATATTCACGCTTGTAAAACGTCTTTCTAATCTTAAAAGATGAGTCGGGAGCATTTTCATTAGCCCAATTGTCAAAAAAACGATTGATCAAGAACATTGATGTTGTTATTCGAGCCCGTAACACCAAAAAAACTTGCCAAAACCATAAGTCATTTGAAGCCACAGCTTCAAGTATAATAGTAGGATTGGGATGATCACCTTGAGAGAACTGACCATGCCACGCAGTGAGACAAATTTTTCATTCCCAATGCGTCTAATCGATGCTCCCAAGTATGCCGAAAAAGCCATGCCTCGTCTCTTACTGTTCAATGTCGCTCGCTGTCGGCTTAGTAAATACCTTTATGATAAAGTCATAAAATAGCTTTAGAAAAATTATAAATACATGAACAGATGTTTCGATCCAATATCTTAAAGTATTCGTCAAACATATCACTAGTCGTCCCATATGCCATCTGACGAAGCGTGGCGGTGAACTTCTGGATGCTGATAAAACCACGCTAGCCTCTCACATCAAATCGTTGAGTGAACGAAGGCACTTTGTGTTCAGTATTGGTGAGTATGCATAAAAACAAAGAACGATTCATCTGAAAATGATTACTAAAATCCTCCGGTGTGTAAACACACGGAGTATTGAAGTAGCATCGTTAAGTACTGCTTCGTGTGCAGCCGCCCGATCACGTTTTAAACGTTCACATTAGGTCAAGCACTAAGATGATTCTGCTTCCTCTTGTTGTGCTGGTTGCCACCAATTGTAACAACCCGTCGCGAAACAACGAAAAATGAGAGCTCTTCTTTCACTGTTAGATGAAGATGATCTCATTTCTTGGGTACTTTGTAGAGAGACTTAAAAGAAATAGAACCTTTTTTGGTGAATAATAGAGAGAATGAGAAGATGTTGTGGATGTATATTTTTTAAAAAATAAAGGGGTATTTGATACGGGCCTCAACCCCGACGTATCACCCGAAGACGAAGATCCTGACCCGTCCGTCTCAGCCGCGCTGGGTCGTCCAAAGCGGGTCGTTCGTCCGCCAAGAAAGTATCAAGATTATGTTTGATTATTTTTCCGTCATTATCTTTTATTTATTGTATTTAGATTTTCCTAGGTGAGCGTAGTTATAAGCTCCTTCGAGGGTTTCTTTTCGGTTCTTTACCTCGTCGCTTTTCTTGAACCGACAGGATAGATAACGTAGTTCTACTAGGATTGGGAAACCTTCTTCTATATAAGAGGTATTTACACCACATGCAGAATAAGAAATAAAGAAGTTCCCTACTCCCTTAACTCTTTCTCTCTCTAAACTCTCTCCTTTCTCTCCTTGGCTTACACGAAACCCCTAGGGTTTTGGCTTTTCTTCCCTCCAGCCTTGCCGCCGGTTTCTCCTTCCCCTAGCTACGTCGGTAGCTGCCGGCTGCCTGGTACCAACTTGGTATCAGTATTTATAGTTAAAAAATAAAAAAAATTAAAAGTGGCTAATGGTCAATTTTTGGACCGTTGGGTGGGGGTGTTGAAGCTGGCAACGGTCGACGAAAAGGGGGATGTTAATTGCGTTAAGCATTGACGCAAAACGCATGACACCGTGATAACAACGGAGGTGGCGGTGTTTAAGGTCATAACGGTGTTAAACACTGGTTTGACGCGCAGAGCATCATCTCCATTTTCGGTGCCCTTAGGCTATATGGCATGGGAACAGTTAAAGCATTAGGAAGGTGAGGTGGCAGCGATATTGATTGGTAACACCGCCCCCTCACCTCGACATCGGTGTGAACCTATATACGTTGAAGACGCCGTCATCTTTTCTTTCTACCCCCCTCCCCCCAACCCCTCCCCTCTTTTCCTTGCTCTAGTCGTGGGGATGGTTCCCCACCCACACCCCCATAGCCCAACCTTCTTCTTTATTTAAAAAAAATGATGAACTGAGTATTCGTCAAAAGCAGCCAGAACAGTCAAATTAGAGGAGGTAAATTTGATTTTATTAACGTATTTGGAGAGACTATATGCTAAACATAACTACCTCTCAGTGTAGTGAGCAGAAACCGAACTCGAGTATTACCTCTGGGTATCACTTACCTTGCCAAATGCGCAACACCCACCGGCGAGCTATTTTCTTTGTTTTACCCTCTCTCTTGCGTTTAGACCTGATAAAAATTGACCAGATTTTAAACTTACCTTGTTCATGTGACATTCGATTTGAATGTCATTGATACGGTATCGTATCGGATAGGGAAGAACTTCGAGCGTTCTTCAAGCTCCAAGAAAAGGGAGGCAAAGAGAGAAGGAAAACTTCGAGCGTTTTCAGGCTCCAAGAAAAGAGAGACGAGAGATTAAGAGAATTCTTGATTATTGATTGATTGAATAATAATAGCGAAGGGTTACAATATATAAAGAACGTAGATAACCTAATTGACCTAATGGGCTCGGACCCATACTAAAACCCTAAACCAACAATAAATAATAATAAATAAATACTAAATAATAATATAACTAATTAAAATATTTTAATTAACTATCTGTATCATTCTCACCCCCTTAAAAACCACCTTGTCCTCAAGGTGGAGGCTCCCACTCGTGCTTCTGGACTGGAGAGATAAAACTAAACCAAAGGCGCAGTCCATGCTTTGAATCTTCAAGAATCCTGGCTCTTGAAGCAAAGTGATGGCCATACGAGACGCGGCACGTAGAATATGTAGTTGCTGAAACCAAGTGCTCCGTCGCGACCACATCGACAATATCAAACAACTTAATGGTGTCATCAAATGAATTGAGGTTGTACACTTGCTTATTATCTGTATCTGCCACCTTCTCGACACCTGCTAGAACTTCATACTCTGCAATTGTCATCCCAACTGAGGCATTTAGTGGGACAGATAATTCACGAGATGTAGAGTATGATTTGTTTGGTGGCTCGTCACTCTGAATATTTGCACCATAATCTTCATCAAAAATACCGCCATCATTGCCAACGATTACAGACCCGCTATCATTGTCCACATTGATAAAAGATTTCTCGTTTGATTCCTTTAGTTTATTTGTGTCCTCCATAGTTGGGGCAGGGAGTGTGTTGGTGTTTTCCACCATGTGGGCAAATGTGTCTCTAGACTTTTCCGATGTCTTCTCAAAACAAATATAATCCAAATCATGTAGCGGAGCAAATCGTATTTGGAACTTTTTAACAAAATCCTCCCAACCATCAATCAAGCCACCACGCATACGCCAATTAAACCAAGCCAAGGCAGAGCCCTCTAACATTGATGTCACACAGTTCAAACGATCAACTAAAGGGACTTCGTAAAACTGGAAATACTCACATACCGTAGCTAACCACTGCACGGGTTTGGTTCCGTCACATCTTGGGGGGAACGTTGGTGGAGAAGACCCATAATGTGTGCTCTGAAAATTTGTAACTCAAAAGGAATTTGACCTGGCACAATTGGAGGTCCACGAACCAAATCCTGTACCGAGCAAAAAACTTCTACGTTGAGCGCATCATAATCAATTTGACCTTTAAAATGACGGACCGACCTGAGCATCTTAATAATTTCATATACTTGATCAAAAATCAAACAAACTCCTTCATCATGCTCAATTTCTCCAAAAAGAATCTTTTCTAACAAATCAAAAAGTATGCCCAACGCAGAGTCCATTGTCAAAATAAACACCACCACACAAAAATATCACCAAAAAATACCTTAAATGTTGCTATGGTTGGTACGGAGTTGCGGTCTCTGATTGATCCCTAGATACGATCTGGTGCCGCCGAAAAAACTTGCAGCAAAATTGCAGCGACACACAAGCTTTGGCAAATTGGACGGCAAAGCTTAGTAACAAATTAATAATTGTTCCAATAATTGGGTGCAAAAGGTTTGATACAAATTAACAATTGCTCCAATTGCTCCAATAATTGGCCGATCTGGAAAAAAATGAGCTCTTTTTTTTTGTTTTTTTTGTGGTTTTTTTTGGCGAGTTCTCTCAATGAAAGCACCAATTAATACGAATATCGTATCGGATAGGGAAGAACTTCGAGCGTTCTTCAAGCTCCAAGAAAGGGGAGGCAAAGAGAGAAGGAAAACTTCAAGCATTTTCAGGCTCCAAGAAAAGAGAGACGAGAGATTAAGAGAATTCTTGATTATTGATTGATTGAATAATAATAGCAAAGAGTTACAATATATAAAGAACGTAGATAACCTAATTGACCTAATGGGCTCGGGCCCATACTAAAACCCTAAACCAACAATAAATAATAATAAATAAATACTAAATAATAATATAACTAATTAAAATATTATAATTAATTATTTGTATCATAGCATGACCCGAGTCTCCTACGGGACTCCGTTAGAAAAATTTATGGTTCCTGTACTCCTAAACTATCTGCACCCTACTGCCCTCCTACACCCTGTTGTCCCTCTATCCCTCCCTCACAAGGTCATCGATTAGCTACAGCCTATAGTGGCCGAGCCAATCAGTGATCTTAGGGGAGGCAGGGAGTGTAGGGGGGTTTAGGGGTGTATGAACCATTAATTTTACCAATTGCGCATCGTAAGAGACCCGGATCATGCTATGACATTAGGTTTAATGTCACATGAACCGCACCGAGTAAGGGGAGGGTTCCCATGATATTGGAACCTTATGTCATGGGATGACCCGAGGCCACTACGGTACCCCTTAGTAAAATTGATAGTTCCTACCCCAAACCTCCCGGTAAACCCCCCACTCCCCTTCAATTGCACTCCAAGTTAATTTTAATTTTGAAGTCAAAATTGACTCCAAAGTCAAAATTGACTTGGGGGTACATTTGAAGGGGTGGGGGTGTGCTCGGGTCAGGGCAAGGTGTTGAGATTTACCAGAGGGGTCGAAATCATCAATTTTACGAACGGAACACCGTAACGATTCTGGGTCATCTCATGATATAGGGTTCAATGTCAGAAATCCTTCTGAAATAAAATATTCTAAGACGTGCGAGGTATATAGATTTTAATACGGAGATTTTTTTAGAGTATTTTTTAGTGTAAAAGGCAAAGAGTAATACGAATTCAAATCTTCTAAAAGTAAATTTTATACTCCCTCTGTCCTAAAATTAATTTCTCACTTTTCTTTTTTGATTGTCCCAAAATTATCTTCTCATTACTTAAAATGGCAAGGCTTACTATGATAGATGACAATAATGGCCCCATCCATTTATGCTTTCCTTTTCACCCTCAATTTCCCTGGGTGTTTCAATCTTTCCCGTCTCTCCCCAGTATTTTTCATTCTCCGATCCTCTACCTTTTCTTCTCTTTTCTTTTTGCTTAATTTTCTTGATTCATACAAAAAAGAATCATCAGACCCTGTCTGCTCGATAGTCCCCGCCCAAGAAAGCTTCTATCGTCACCATCTCGGAGTATTATCGACCCTCCACTGCCGTCTCTAAAGGTTACCGAGTTTGCGCTGCCGTCTCAATGGGTTATTGAACGTTCGCCGCCGTCTCTATAAATTATCGAGTTCTGTCGCCATATGTGAGGAGGCTCCTCCCTTTTAGGTCTAAAAGTAGAAGAATAAATTCAATCTGCAAGATCTCAGTTCTTTTTATTTGCTTCATGAGACATGCGATTCTTTGTGGTTTTATTTGGGTGAACTGATTTGGAGATAACAAAGATATGGAGAACTGAAGAACCAATTCAATTTGCAAATGAGATTTGTTTGATTTGGAGAATTCCGATTTGGAAGTGAAGGTTTGGGTTCCGATGAATATAGGGGTATCTTGGAAAAGTCAAAGTAATTCTTACACTTCATTAAAAATCACTCCCGGTCAAAGTGGGAAATTAATTATAGGCGGAGGGAGTAGTAATTATTAGGAGGGTGTGTGGGAAGCACTAGCTAGTCAAATTGCAACGCCGGATTCCACGAGACTGGCAAGTGGGCATTGATGCATTATTTGTCGTGTCGGTCTAAAATCTAAATTGGGGTGAACAAAACAAATACCGAGAACTCGCTTTCCGTAGCAACCTATTTTGACATTTCAAAACGATAAGGATAGCCATAACTTTAGCGCTTTTGAGAACTAAATTTATTTTTAATGAGAGAATGATGATAAAGAGTGGAAGATGTGCATGATATTTTTAGTATTTTCATGCTTACCGTAGTTATTTCCAACGTGTATTATTATATTATACTTCCTCCGTCCCTAAATAGATTACAATTTTTTTCTCTCCTCTCGATAACTTTTGTTTGTTTACGCGATTTCATTAAGTATTTGATAAAATAAAATATTCTTGTCACCTCTTGTTTTGTAGAACTTTTGACGTAGTTTTTTAATATGTACGGAGTAATTTTTATATCTTATTGATATATCAATTTGTAAATAAAATGATTTCAAAAAGTAGGAAATTTTATTTCGTAACCCGCAATTTGTAATCAAATTGGGGAGCGAGGGAGTATGTGTTTAAGATATTTTTGTGTTGGAGGAATCAAACTCAAATACACTTCTTGCAATAGTGGATCCAAAAAAAAAGTGATTGGGGGCAAGGTTATACGGAGTAGTAAGGAGTACTGGAGTATAACGGGAGTTCCAGGACATCATCCCTGTTTTTTTAAAGCTATTTACAATGATAAAAAATGAATAAATTTATTTCCAAACAAGTATTCAAATAAGTAAAATAAAATATTTTTTAAAATAAAAATATATAAAATAAAATATATCATAACCTAATATCACTATTACGTACATTTCGAATATTTTAGGTTTATATTTTATTTAAATAATTATTTTGTACTTTTAAACTAGATTTTTTTTAATTGGGGACATTTTTTAATAAGGGCACCAATTAAAAAAAATTGTGATGTTAGTGTCATAGTCTTGAAAGCCGGACTGGACCAGCCGGTTCGGACCGCGAACCGGCGAACCGGTCCGGTCCGGCCCTATAGACCGTAATAAGCTTCAAACCGGTTCGAAACGGTGTGAACCGGCAAGAACATGTCGGTCGAACCGGTGTGAACCGGCAAGAACATGTCGGTTGAACTGGTCCGACCATTTTTTTTTGCGATTTTTTTCCAAAAGCATACCACCATAGGGGTTCGAGGACAGCATCCCTGTTTTTTTTATAGCTATTTACAATGATAAAAAAATGAATAAATTTATTTCCAAACAAGTAATCAAATAAGTAAAATAAAATATTTTTTCAAATAAAAATATATAAAATAAAATATATCATAACCTAATATCACTATCTCTGTTAGCTTATTCGGATACGGGTATAATACGTCTATTCGTACGTTCGTGTATAATACGAACCATTTTTTTAAAATACGTCTTATTATACATTTTATACGTTCGGAGTACGTATACGGATACGTTCGCGTATTATACATTTGATTTTTCAAAAATACGGCTTATAATGAATGCATATATTTTTTTAATAAGAAACACATTTTAAACTTTGAAATTGAATACAAATACATCATAAAGTTCTAAAAATTTAGCCAACACTACGATTTATTGTTTATTCATTTTTTCCATGTGTACTCAAAGGAGATCTTTCAATCTAATTATTATTTTGTACTTCCACAAAATGTATTCAAAGTAAGAACACATTCTAAAAAATGAAGCCAACATTTAGATATAAACAAAGCATTTAAGACATGACAAAAACTATATTATTAGACGACTATTTATGTTTTACAAAATTGATTAAATGTTTATCATGAATTTAAAAGGAAGACTTAAGCCTCTTTAAAATTTAAATATGAACTTACTAAATAATGTTTTACACAATTTAAAGTTGAGTAAAATTAAACTTATTCTATATTTTTTATTTTTTAAATACAAAAATATCGTTACGAACTTAGATTTTTTGAATTTAGATCATACAAATAAAATCAAATTTGTATTTTTAAACGTGGATAAATATTTAATCTTAAGAACTAAATACAAAAAATTGATCATATTTTCAAAATCAAAACAAATAGAAAAAATGTTGTTTAATTTTCTACTATTCGCTAATGCAGATGCAATGTTGGACTTTGAGTCGGACGAAGTCGAATAGACTAGTAGAGTGTGGGTGACATTTTATTAAAAAAAGATATTGGTGGATGACTTGAACTACGATACGACTTTTAATACTTTTATAATAACTGAGTCGCCAAATTTTAAAGATTTATATTTTTGCAGAAAGGCAATTAATTTATTTGATCTCATCTGAATTTGACCCCAATGATTTTGCAATATAATACATATAAAATTCGTAAATACGTTTGGGGTCAAAAATACGCGTATTATACGTTCGTCCCATTAAAAATTCGTATTCGGGAGTATAATACGTGTATCATACGTACGGGTATATAATACGCGTATTATACGCGAATAAGCTAACAGAGATCACTATTACGTACATTTCGAATATTTTAGGCTTATATTTTATTTAAATAATTATTTTGTACTTTTAAACTAGATTTTTCTAATTGGGGACATTTTTCTTACAAGGGCACCAATATAAAAACAAAAAAAATTGTAATTGAATTGGACTAAGCTATTTATGCCATAGTTTTAAAAACTGGACCGAACCGGTCGGTTCGGACCGTGAACCGGCGAACCAGTGGTCCAACCGGTCCGGTCCGGCACCTTAAACCGTAACTTGCTTCGAACCGCTATGAACCGGGAAAAACCGGCCGGTACTCCGGCCGAACCACTGCTAAAGTTAAACCCCTAACCATCTCAGCTAAAGTGTCTTTGTGTTAAAAGTTCACTTTAATAATGTTTAATATTACATTATTAACAAAAAGTTTAAAGATTTCTTTTCATTTTAAGAACTTTAAAAAATATAATATTATAGCTATGATTTAAACTCAGAATTATTGATATAATTGATACAATTACAAATATTATGCAAAGATTTCATTTCAGTGTTTTTAATATTAGATAATTTATTTGAAAAATAATAAAATCAACTCTTTGTTTATAAAATATTTAATATTGTTTTTTAAATATGTAAATTTTATTGTAAAACTTAGTGACATAACTGAAATAAATTAATATAGATTTGGTCAAATGTTATACATTATGTACTCTAAGTATTTATAAATAAGAGAGAGAGAGAGTGTGTGTGTGTATGTATATATATATATATATATATATATATATATATATATATATATATAATTTTAAAAAATGTTTAAACCACCAGTTCGACCAGTTGAACCACTGGTTCGACCAGTAAACCAGTGAACCAGTACCAAGACCGGTTCGGTCACCGGTCCGGTTCTGAAAACTATGATTTATGCACTAAAATTTGTACCCCAAAGGTATGCATCGACATTTTGTGCTAATGTGATGTTAGTGTCATAGTTTTGAAAACCGGACCGGACCGGCCGGTTCGGACCGCGAACTGGTCCGGCCCTATGGACCGTAATAAGCTTCAAACCAGTTCGAACCGGTGTGAACCGGCAAGAACCGGCCGATCAAACCGGTCGGACCGGTTTTTTTTTTTTTTTTTTTTTGCGATTTTTTTCTAAAAGCATACCACCATGGGGGTTTGAACCCAAGATCTCTTCGTGATTAAGTTGAGTTCCTAACCATCCAAGCTAAAGTGTTTTTTGTTACAAGTTCACTCAATCTTTCAAAGTCATCGACATAAAAACATGGCAATTGCACAGTAGGAGTGATCTTGTTAAATTCTAGAGTACTCCGTACATGAGAAAATTATCAAATGTAAGACCCATATGGCCATATCAGAAGAGGGCCTTGTGGGATTTGAGGCTGCTAGTGTTGTACGTAAGTTTCAGAATTCAAGACATCAAGATGCTGCTATTATTTATTCTTCATAACTTACTACACAATCTATATTGTTAAAATTGTACGCCACGAAATGTCCGAAGTTGAATCATGAAAGCCTTAACCAGCAAGAGGATTAGCATGGATTGTCACTCGACTGATTCGGATCTCCGCAACAGGTCGGTCCCCAGCTCCTACTACAGTCTGCACATAATCAGCAACAGGAAAGATTCAACTTCACATCAAAAAAAATAAATTGTTCATGAGTCTACATGTTTTAACATTCAAAGAAAATGCAAAGCTTCATATGAAATACTTTAAGATTCAGATCTCCTCAAACGTTTCGCTTATGGAGTTTGGCTTATTGAGACAGCCATATACTTCATTCTTTCCAAAAAGTGAATCTTAAAATACCAAACACATGCCAAGAGTGTGTTCTGTTTAGCACTATGGAAGTGTGCTAACACAAGGGATTATTGTGAGAAAATGCAGAGTACCTTTTCCATCACATCGAGGACTTCAAAGCCATGGATCACTTTGCCAAAGATGGTGTACAATCCATTCAGATGAGGCTGTTTTGCGTAGGTAATAAAGAACTGACTCCCATTAGAATTTGGCCCGCTATTAGCCATCGCCAAAATTCCTCTAGCATTGTGCTGATGGGAGTAAAAATGAAGGGCAACATCAATATAAACTAATGAACTAGAGCCAACATTCAAGAGCAGGATAATCTAATAAACAATAATAAACTAGATCAACTTGAAACCCACCTCATGCTTTTGCATGACAAGAATTTGATCATTTAAGAATAATTCAATAAAGGGAGGAGGAAATGAAGAGCTTAGATATATACCTTGAGAGACTCTCTTATCTCGTCGTTGAACTTTTTGCCCCATATGCTCACTCCTCCTTTGCCTGTGCCAGTAGGATCTCCACCTTGAATCATAAAACCTTTGATGTTCCGGTGAAATATGGTCCCGTCGTAATACCCACTGGCACATAGAGCCAGAAAATTCTGCAGTCAAAGGATGTAATGACTAATTGGCTTGTTAAGTAAGAATTACACAACAATCAGCAACCATAAATTTTGTAGAGTTCTTTATTTCTCATTACGACAAACCTCTCAGATTTCAATAAAAGAATACAGAGCGGAAGGGAGAAAAATGGGTAATCAATAAGGCATGAAAAGTGCACATTTCAAACACAACGAAAGTGATAGCTATAGCCAATGCCTAATAGTTGGATCAGTTTTCAGTTTCCAAAATCCGAATAGACCGACTTCAAAGTGCATGCAATTATACAAAAATACTAAAATACTCTCTCCACCTTAATTTAGTTTCCACTTTCCAAAAGACATCATATTTAAGGAGTGAGTACAAAAAGATCAAAAGCTCCTTGAAATTAACATGTCTTTCATTGATGACAACAATCCTAATATTATCTTTAGGGTTGTTCATGATGATTTCGTAATTCCCAATTATTGGTATCAGACAAAAGTGGAATTCCCTAAATGGCGCACAACTAAATATAGAAGATGTGTGCACAACATTAGGCTGCCCCAATACGAAACAACTGCTTTGAGTTGGCTACACCAAATTTTCTTCTAGGATGGGCTGCACAAAAGGAGAGCAAATGGTCACTAGTTTATTGAATTGCTTCCGACCTAGTTATTTCCAAACTATTGCTTTCATATCGAAGAAGAAACGGCAACCAATTCTATTAATTACTTCATCACCATTTCTCTTCACAATGTCAAACCATTTACTCCACACAATGTCAAACCCTATTTAGTTTTGAAATGTAAAAGTTTAACTTTTAAAATCTACACCACTTTATAAATAAATTGAATTGAAAAAAAACCTAGTCCCAAACTTTTGGGGTGCAAAAGGGAGGATTAGGTTTCATCATAAGCATCGATCACAGCAACAAGAAGGCAATAAAAACATGCTGGGATAGTAGCTTATATTTACGAACTAAGATTTGAACTAAATACTCGTTGTTAGAAATTACTGACCTCTGCAGTCCTGGGAACCTCATCGCAGAAGATTTCGCACTTGATATCGCCAAGATTCGTGTGTAAAGTGACCGACTGCAAAAGCCCAGAAAAGTCGATGAAGAAATTGTTTTCCCGTAAGAGAAATTGAGACAACATGTTCGACGAAATAGACAAAGAAGAAGTTTAGTACCATTTTGCATCCGTGTTGGCTCGAAAAGCTACCACTAGCTAAGCTGCTGCTGCTGTCTTCTTCTTCTTCTTGCTCTTCTTCTTCTTTTGTTTTGGCTGTAGCCTGTAGACAGATTGTGTTTCTAATTTCTAAATTTTCTTTGGATAGAAGACTAGCCCATGGAGGGCTTTGAAGTTTAATGGACCGAGGCCCACGATCTCATTATCAAGTTCTGAAAAAATGTATATTAGAGAAAAGAGTAAATTTTATAAAAGGTCTCCAGTTATAGGTCGTTTTACATATTTATTCCATACTCTCTACATATGAAATATGAATAATTTAGTCCCTAATTATTATATTATTTTTCACAAATAGTTCTTTGTTAACATTTTTGTTAAGAACACAGATAAAATTGTATAATTCTATATACAGACTCCTCTCTATCCAATTAACCTTCCTCCATCTTCTCGTACTCATTCCCAAATTCGTTGCTGAGTTTGAAGCTCTAAACCTAAAACCGAAACGATCACTCCTTCTCAATTGTTCATCTTCTTGATGGAACTCACCTTCATGGCTGAATTTTATGGGTTAGTCTCGAGAAATTGCAAAGAAAACAAATCTTAAAACTCATTCATGAAGTGATGAAGGTTACTGATTTTGATTTTGGATTCCACCAGGAAGAGGAACAATTGGGAGAGGATGGATGATTTCGGACTTTCGGTTTTAGGTTCAAAGCTTCAAACTCAGCGACGAGTTTGGGAAAGGAGTGCGAGAGGAGAGAGGAAGCTTAATTGAGGAGAGATATGAGCGTAAATTTACAATTTTATCCACGTTTTTTACTAAAATATTAGCAAATGACCATTCGTAGAAACACAATATAATAATTGGGGACTAAATTATTGATATTTGATATGTAGGGACTAAATATGTAAAACGAATTATAACTGGAGACTTTTTATGTAATTTACTCTAGAGAAAATTAAATAATCTCATTTTCATCGTCTTTTAAAATTAAAATTACTATTTACTGTGACGCGTGATAAATCAACATTTATGACACTCCGTAGAAGCTTTGGATTACCGTTAAGAATGTAATAGTCGCTTAACAAAATTCTTTAGAAAAGATTCATTTTACGCAAATAAATGATAGGTGAAATTTATTTCAGGTAGATATACCTGAAATATAATGGGACACACTTATTTTCATTTTTCTAGATTTTAGATTTCAAAATTTATTTTCTAAAATATAACGGTACACACTTATTAGACATTTGTATCGCACATCTAAAATATACGGAGTATAAAGGTTCAAAAGTTTTGTAGTCTCATTTCAGAGAAATATATTATTGGATGATCGAAAAGCAATTTTGAGTACCGCTCAAGAAAACAATTGTGCCGAATTTTGAAAAAAATTTGTTATGCCACTCTTAGAAAAGTGAAATAAAAAATGATCTCACCCTTTTGTGGTTTGCCAAAAAAAATCCCCCCTATATATAATATATAACTAAAATTCAAAAAAATTTGCCAAAGTTGTATAGAGTAACTTTCTTTGATTTAACAATTTTTAATCAAAAATCAGGCTTCATTAATAAAAAAACGTACAATTTAATTTCAATAGAGACCAATGACGTAAGAGCACTGGAAATACCCTTGAAGCCCCGGGGCTTCAAACTTTCTCTCTCTGCCACGTCAGCTTTAACTTACACCCAAAATTCACTGGAAATGGTTTTGAAGCCCCGGGGCTTCAAACCTTCATTTTTTACATTTTTAAATATACATCTTCTAAATTTAAATTTATAAATTCAAATAAATTTATTATTTTAATTAATCGCAATGACACTATTGCATAAAAAAATTAAATTCATTATAAAAAAAATCTTACATTCATTAAAAAAACATTAAAAAAAATTACATTCATTAAAAAAAATTACATAAAAAACAACAGTACAAAGAAATCACTAATTATTCGAACGACTAAAGATATGCTCGATCAAATCCGCCGTTAGTGCATTGTGAATCTCTCGGCTTCGAATTTCTTGGCGGTTGCGTCGTTTCTTTTCTTCGGTAATTTCTTCGTACATAGGCACCTCCTCGTCCGGGTTGTATTGACAAATCGCAGACCCGTTATCCTCTATGATCATATTATGAAGAATAATACATGCGTACATGATATTCCTCATTTTTGTCTGAGAATAACATTTCGACGGACGATCTAGAATGTGCCACTTAGCCTTCAAGATCCCAAAGGCTCGTTCAATATCTTTTCTCGCCGCCTCTTGAGCTTTTTTGTAGGTTTGACGTTTAAGACCCATTGGTTCGGAGAGAGATTTGACAATCGTGGAATAATCCGGATATATTCCATCAGCCAAATAATATCCGCGCTTGTAAAGCGTCTCTCTAAGCTCAAAAGACGAGTCCGGTGCGGTCTCATTGACCCAATCGTTAAAAACAGGCGATTGATCGAGAACGTTGATGTCGTTGTTCGAGCCCGCGACACCGAAAAAAGCATGCCAAATCCACAAGTCATTCGAAGCAACAGCTTCGAGCATGATGGTAGGCTTGGGATGATCTCCCCGGGAGAATTGACTGTGCCACGCAGTGGGACAATTTTTCCATTCCCAATGCGTGCAATCAATACTCCCAAACATGCCGACAAAGCCGTGTTTAGCGGCATGCCTCGCCTGCAACTGCTGGATGTCGCTCGCTGTAGGCTTGCGTAAATATCTTTTATGATAAATTTGAATTATAGCTTTTGAAAATTTATAAACACAAGACCTGATGCTCCGAGCAGACATCTTTAAGTATTCGCCGAACATATCGGACGCCGTCCCGTACGCCAACTGACGGAGCGCGGCGGTGCACTTTTGGACGCTACTAAACCCGCGTCGGCCTCTCGCATCAAACCGTTGGTTGAACCAAGGAACCTCGCGTTCAACATCGGCGAGTATGCGTAAGAACAGAGGACGACTCATCCGAAAACGATTACTAAAATCCTCCGGTGTATAAACACACGGATTATTAAAGTAGTCGTTTAGAAGTGAATCGTGGGCGGCCGCTCGATCCCGGTTAAGACGTTGGCGTCGGGTCCGTCGTC